TACTAGGTGACATCCTCCCAAAAACTTCACCTCAAATGTGTTAACTAAATACAAATTTAGGGATTACCATGCCAATATCAGACCATCACATTGTTCATTCTACTTGTTGATTATATCTCTTCCCTCAACCCTTTATCTCCTGTCGATTTAGACCATGACTGTTTTAGGACAGGTACTGTCTTAATCTATGTATTCCACCTGTGCTTGAATTATTGATATGAGAGACTACAAAACACTAAACTAACAGTAAATTCTTTTATTCTCTCCAACAGTCAAATAATATTTTATATAATTTCTCTAAACGCGGCTCTAACAACCTATAAAATAAACAATTACTGTACCCAATACAACAAAATATTATTAAGCATGTTATCAAGATAATTCCCACCAGGTCAGACCTAGGGAAAACCATCTCATTCTGGCCTCCCCAATGATTAGGTGGGGCGGTGTCTCACAGAGAAGCTTTAGATTCATAACTCTTTTTATGCCCTTCCACAAGCAAATCAATTACCACTTCATCTAACAATCAATGTGAAACAGTTCATCCTACCTTTCAGATTTAATCTAAGTAAAGATTTACAACCTCCTTTCAATTTAGGGTTTTTCCTCATCTTTCCCCCTTCTTTGTGTTAACATTTTCTCCTTTTAAGATACATTCTTTTTGTGTTATTTAAAACTATCTGCAGTCACTCCTATTAATTGGAGGCCTTCTTTTCATGAACATCCCCTTATCTCATTAGTTATTCCTCGAACCAGACATAATCCTATTCCGTTCCTTCTGGCCTTAATCTCGTTATTTTCTAGGTCTTCTTCCTACTTGCTTGTCAGGGTCTTAAAAAAACCAACTGATGTTTGGTTAAGGAAATATAACTCTGATTCTTTAATTTTATATTTATTCTGCAGCCTAGAATAATTAATCCCCTGGTCTTGGTTGGGATCCCTGAGTGCTATAATGACTGACATTTAAACACCCGCACTCCCACACATACCTGTTTGTTTGTAAACTTGCATATTTTCTCTAGAACTTGAACAGGGTACACATTTGCAAGTAAAACCATACTTTAAAAAGATAAAAGTGCTGATAGAGATAAGGGCACCTTCTGCTTTATGAATGATCACAAAACCAGTAATAGTCATGGTTCAGAATTTATTTTTGTGCTGCTCTCCCATCATAGACAGTCATGCTTTCCATGACTAATAAATATAGGATTCGAGGCAAAGGCTTCAGTGCGTAACCCAGATGATGGTCTGATGCGTCTTGCTTGTGGAGCTCCTGCTATTTGGCAGTAGCCTGTTTCTGGATAGTAGCAGCTACAGGCCCCTCTCACAAGCTAGTTTAAAAGGCTAGAATGGAGCTCTATGGTGATCTTGTCTGATTTTCTATCACAGGCCATGGAACTGCCACAAAATAATGGAGAAAGTAATAATGTTTAGTGGCAAATCAGAAGAGAAATTATGAGCATAGGGCCTAAAGGGTGATGTAGTTTAGACGTACCCTATGTGACATCAAGGATCTCTGCAGCCCCATGTTGGCAATCAGTGCTTCACATACACTGTTACGGCTCAATCCCCCAACATGACACTATGCTGCAGAGTTGGGGGGCTGGTTAGCAGGATAATCTCTGCAAAATCTGTCTCTCTGATTCCCAGAGACAAATTTATTCATTCTCAGTCTCCCTGAGATTAAAAAAAAAAAGACAAGACCGGTTCTTCACTGCTACTACCCAAGTGATTCCAAGAAAATCAGAGAAGAGATCACTTGGGAATCCCCTCTCTAAGGCAAAGCTCTTCCCCGTCCCCCAACCTCTGTTTTGCTTGGAGTTGGGAAAACAGAGAGAATCCACAGACAACAATAGACTCTGCCCTTGTAACTAGGCCCTTAATCCTAAGGATGCAACAATCAACCAATACCGGTTAATTAGAATAAAAATAAAACTCTTTTATTATCAAAACAAAACTAATGTTGCAAGCATAGTAAATTGGATAGGCGGAAAATAGCCACAATTTGATACATATACTCAGGGAAAGTCCGTGGGCTGTAATCCTTAGATACAGAAGAGAAAAACAATTAGCCAGTTCATGGTTCCACACCCCCAAACAAGGAAAACAATAAACCCTGACAGACTATATAAGCTTTTCCCTACTTACACATTTCAAGAAGTCCGTTCTTGGAGAAAGTGTCTTCCATCTTCCTCAATACTTAAGAGAAACTGCTGTGATCTCAGATAAAGGACAGAGAGGAAAAACCCCTCTCTTTTTTTTTTTTTTTTCAATTTGAAATTCCTACCTGCATTGTTATTGGCTGATTGCCCAAATCCCCCCCAGCCAACACCTTTGCTAGGTACCTAAGTTAACCTCTTAGTGTCTGGGTGCTGGTCAATGCTCCTTCTGATCATGACATACGCAGACCTGCAAAACCTGGGGTTAATGTATAAATAGCTGAAATGGACATGAATGTTATTTTTGCTGCATAAATTCTGTTCTATTAATTTATTAAGCTTTTAATGTATTAGATTTTTGTACTGATTTCATTATAGAATAAAATTGTATTATTTGAAATGTAAATTCATCTTTATTATGTCACAGCATATGCTGATGAGTGCTCAGTTAATTCTGAAAGCAACCAATTACCTCTTACTGTAAGGTGTCTCAGCTCATAGAATCAGTCACAAAATTAATAAGTTAAATAAAAATGTTATATTCCTATGTGTGTAACAGTCACCTCACACACACCACAAAAGAGCAAGGCCAGACAGAGCACACTACAACAATACACATTGCTCTGGCTTGCTTTAAAGTGGTCTTTCAAAGCTTCCCTGTAGCTCTTGTTGAGTCTTCTAATAGCCTTTGTATGTGGCAGTTTAAATTCACCAGACAGCGTCTCCACCTCTATCCTCCCCCTAGGAGATACTTTGCTCCTTTGGTTCATAGATATTATGAAACTATTTTTGTGAAATGGGGGGCTGGTAGAGAGGGTGCAAAGTAGTGTGTCAAAAACAGCCCTGGTAATTGGCCGATTCACCACTTCTTAGTACAATATGAAGTACAAGGCAGGCAGCTTTAATCATTGCAATGTTTTTCCACTGTGGTCTAGTCTTATGAGTGGACAATATCAGTGACCCTTGAAATGAACAAAAACATATTAAGCTGTCATTTTGTGCCTGCTGAGCAGTGGGTCATTCGTAGCGGGATGAGATTAATGACTTTTCATGACTTGGCCTCCAAAGTGGTTTTCCCAGCTCCAAATTGATTCTCAGCTGACCAATAGCAATCTGGTATTGCAAGCTTCCACTGTGCAATCTCCACTTGCTTCTAAGTTGTCAGTGCAGCTCTCCTTTTGTTGTCCCTGTGCTGAAGGCCAGGGCCAAACTCCGTGGACATATGCTGGAATGTGGCCTTGTACATACAAAGGTTCTGTAACCACTGCACATTGTCCCAAATGTGCATTATGATGGGATCTCACTGGTCAGTGCTTAATTTTCAGGTTCAGAAGCAGTACTTCACCAGACCTGCTCGATGAATGCCATCAACAACCTTGATTTAGTTCTTGTGTTCCACAGCAATCTGTCCTCCAAGGAATTCTCATGCTCCCCACTCATTTAGTAATTTTTTCAGCTCTGGAAATGCTTCAGGATTGTGAGTCCTGTGCTTGCAGTGTTCATGACAAAGAGCTATGCAGGCTTGATGCCTCTGTCAGAGATGGTGACAGCCAGGAAGCCAATGCAGGTTTATGGGCTTTTGGAAAAAAAGTCATAAAAATTATGGGATAGTGATACCATTATGGAATGGAGGTATTTGCAACCTGGGAAGTTGATTGGTATGCTCCCAGTCACTGCTGCATAACTTATTTTGCTTCATGATACAAAACTTCCCAAAAGTGAAATAGATGTTGGGGTGCAGGGCTGTCCCTACCAGTCCTGGTGTCTTATGCAACCTAGCACTGGTACCTCCTGGTACCAGTGGGCACTGAGCCAGGGGGAATGGGCAAACAGGCAGGGAATGGTGGTGGGGGTTGGAGCCTGTGTGCAACATGCAGCTACTAGGGTACCATGACATTTGGGACAATTTGGTGCCCCAATTTTGTGGTGCCTTATGCAGCTGCATGTTTTGCATATGGATAGGGATGGCCTGGGTGGAGAGTTGTACAGTGAGATGTCAGCCACGGTGCTCCATGTTCTGCATTGGCACACTCACTCCTAGTAAGTACATGCATAGCTGACACAAGGAGTCAAGTGCACACAATTGATGTACTAACTACAGCAACCGTATGTCCACATTCCTTGAGTCAACAAGTTTGTAGTGTAGATATGGCCTTAAACACTTATTGCCTCAAAGTATCAAGGTGTAGCAATATAGTAATCTAAGATCAAGTGTTTGAATTTGGGCTCAAGCCTAATCCCTCCTTTATGTCTACACATACATCATGCTAATCGAGGGTCTCAGAACCCCGCGAGAGTGGAGGATGTGAGCCCTAGTCAAGCTGGGATCCTGGGCTCCAGCCTTATTCTTTTCAGGGTCCGTGTAGCCCCACTGAAATTGTTCCAGGGAGGTCTGCGAAAAGTATCCCACAATGCCAAGGCTAACTTTTATACCTCAAGTAGTAATGTTTTGTGAACAGTAAAGTTTTGCCACATTACACCGCGAACAAAGTTCTAAAATGGCCATGTTTTCAGGAAGGCACTAGTGGATCTGGATAGTTGGACTGTGGCACACTGTGTAGATTTTGGAGCCTCTGGCTGGGAGCTAGGATTCAACAATTAGAATGAGTGTAGGTGCTCATGCCCTAGGTTAACAAACTGAGGGCTTGCGTTTTTCTCTGATGGTGGACACCAAAACCATTCGGTCTAGCTCAGGTATCTGTGATGTGCTTATGATGATCTCTAGCTGTTAAGAGATCAGACTAATTAATCTGCCAAACATTGGTTTATTGAAGCTGTCTTTGACTTTTTATAACATGTTCCACTATTCAGTAGCAACTATAGTAAATTTAGAAGAATTACATTTAATGCAGAAAAAGCATGGCATTAATGTTGTCTGAAAGTTCGTTATTTTTATCAGTAATGCCTGTGAGGTACAACTTCTAACCACTTGCATAAGAATTAATGCATGCTCAACATATTTCATTTTCAGGTATGTCAGGACACAGCAACGATACTACAGCAGTTGATGAATCTCATCCAGCCGCAGAAGAGGTCCTGTCTGACTCTGAGGTGATTGGGTGATATTTGTGTAACATTGTAAAATCAACCAATCCCAGTAACAGTTTCAGACTGCTAAAAAAGCTTCTATAAATACATAATAAATTTTTTGTGTGTGTACAAATGCATGTGGTGCTGCTAGATTTATATTCCGACATTTTTTTAAAATTTTGGGTCTGGTTCCAGATAGGGTAGTTTCACTTGCTGAAGATACCAGGGTAAATCCATATTTGAGGATTTCTTCAGCCAGTAACTTTCCTGCTGTACTCTGCTCCAATTCCATTTTATAAGCTAAACAGGGTTAAGTGGCTTTGGGGACTAGAAGGACCACATAGGTATTATATGAAGAAGCGCTCATAATTAAAAAGATGAGTTTTCCCTTAGTCTGCCTGGATAAGTTCCTCAGCATGATGATAAGGGACATTGCATAAAGTGAAAATAAAAACAGAGAATCTGATCACTTGTAGTTGATTAAGGTAGTGAACGCTGGCATCCTTCAGGAGGAAGAGGACTATATTAGACATTATTTTAATGACTAAAATATTATTTGGTTGAGTTTGGGTAAGAAGTAAACAAATGACTTAGGAAAAAATGTTCTTTGACATTTTGAGGGGGTTAAAACATTAGCAGTCTTATGCATGCTCATAATACATGTCAATCTGAAGAGTGTGAATAACTTGGCAATGCACAGCCCATTGCCACTGGGGGGATGTACTGCAATCCCTTTCTCATGTAGCTGACATGGGAAGAGAATATTGTCCGTAGAATTACCTCAGTGGAATAAAATACAGGACTATGTAGCACTTTAAAGACTAAGCACTTTAGTCTTTAAAGTGCTACATAGTCCTGTATTTTGTTTCAGCTACACCAGACTAACACGGCTACATTTCTATCACTATTCTCAGTGGAATAGTTTCTGTTAACTCAAACTTTAAAAATGCACTTTATTTTTATATTTTGTTTTTCTTTTAATTATCTAAAATTCACTTCTAATTTCATTCTTGTAAAATGAAATTATCTCCCAAAGTTGGTGGTGAAAATCCAAGGAACTTGTGCAGTAGTCTCACTTGATGCAGACATGACTTTGACCATGAACTAGAAGTACTTCTCAAATGCTGACTCAGAGGATTTGGGTTTTCTGGCCTCTCTGCTGCCAGCTTCACCTCCTGCCCTGCTGCCCCATTGGGCTTCCTGGCTCCCTTGAGCAGCCTAGCTGGGTTGAACGTGCTGGGCTTTCCACTCCTCTGCAGCCCAGTTGAGTTGTGTGCCAGTCTACCACAGTGGGTTCCTCCCCCCTTCCCACATTGCTCCAGGCTCCTGGCTCAACCATCCAACCTGGCCCCTCCGCAGCACACCAGTACTCTCTGTTCCTGGAACATCCATGGTCCTGCCAGAGTTTGGATGTTGCTGGATCAGAGAGTTTCAGTTTATAGAGGTACAACCTGTAGTAACCTATGAAAATGAGGTACACTGTAAATTTCAGTTGTAATTCTGTAAAATCTTTTTCCCCCAAGATGAGACCTGGCCACTTACACTTTCTTGGGACTGCCCATTTAAGGTCCCATCATGTGTTAACTGTCCTAAATGGAGGCAATGAGGGCGCAGCCCCTTTTTGGCACTGGCCATTTTGTAAGAGCATGAATGCATAAAAATGTTTGGCTTAGTCTGGCTTATGTCCAACTTATTGTATTTTTGTTTGGTAGTGAAGTGAATCATGAAATAAAATTCCCTGAAATGCCAATAAAGTCATTCATTGATGAAAGACATTTGAGCAAAATGTTTATTAAACGAATTGTTTGTAATCCAGAATGTGGTCCCTGTTAAACTAATGTGTTTTTATGACAATATAGGACAGGCTTCACCTCTTTTAAACTCAACCTAACTTCCTATCTGTATGAAGAATATAGACTCTTGCATAATTGATAGGATAACAAATTAACTGCAGTTCCACATACAGAAACAACTGGAGTCATCATGCCAAAATAACTAATGGTATTCCATTTCAAGTTGAAACAGGCCATAATTCTATCATAACTTGTTCTGTATAGAGATTTACTGTATGATAATTCAGTTCTGGAGCAATTTTTAAAAACAATTCAGCTATTTATAGGTTTCTTAAAATAAGGCTTACTTTTGAGAGGTGTTTAGCATCTCTGAGCCTACTGTTCTTTCATAACAGCGGAACAGATTGCCTGTCTACCTGCCAACTTCTTCTAGTGTGTTTAAAACATACCCTAAATATGTACTGTAGAGCCATAGGGCTTATAGTGAACTTAAGTGTATTTTTAGCTACATCATCACTCAATCAACATTTTTTGGGTTTCATTTTGGGAGGGGTAAGAGGAAAAACTGACTAATTGCTACACATTGAACATACTGTATAGTAAAACAGGAGGGTTTGTTTGAACAATGCTTGATCCATTTCAGGAAAATGTGAAGATTTCCAAGAGCAAGGGAATTCAGGTGACTTGCAAAAAAGGGTTGGCTTCATTGAGCATTATCAAGAGGATGCAGTTTGAACTGCACAATTCTTCTTTTTCTTTCAAACTCCACCTGAAGGCTGAAAATGTAGAGTCTATTTTAAGTATTTCTAAGGTGTTTGTCATACAGGGTATCTTTGTATTTTCAGAGCATTCCTGTACCCTTGTGCTGCATATTTCCAAAGCAAGTTTGGGAGAGTGTGGCATAGTATATTTGTGCCACTAAATATTTTCAGTGCTTTGAAAAAATTATCAGAGCTGACATAGTTCTACTTGAATCCCAAGACCTAAGTTTTCTAGTCATCATATATATAGTAGCCCAGTGTCTGAGAGTCTGTAACGCCAAAATGCTGGCTGTTCCCTCTGGGGGGTGCTGTTGCCTGAAATGCTGGCTGTTCCCTCTGGGCGGCCCGTGCTGCATGGGGAGTGCAGGGCCCAAATGACCGCTTGCTCCCCCACGGCGGCCCGGCTGAGCGGCGCAGAAGTCAGCCGAGTGCCACGGTGGGAGATGAAGGATGGCAACCCCGCCCCCTGGGCGTGTACGTCACCGACCCGCCCCCCTTCACCTCCTGCCGTGGCACTCGGCTGACTTCTGCGCCGCTCAGCTGGGCCGTCGTGTGGGAGCAAGCGGCGCAAGCGACCATTTGGGCTCCGTACCCCCCATGCAGCACAGGGAGTGCGGAGCCCAAACGGCCATTTGGGATCTGCGGTCCCCCAAGTGAGAGGCAGGAGGGGGAGGAGAAGTGAAAGAGAGAGACGGAGAGAGTGGCAGGAGGCAGAGGAGAGCTCTGAGAGAGGAGGAGGAGGAGAGAGAGAGGAGGCAGCTCAGGAGAGAAGACCGACGTGGAGGAGAGACCTGAAAATCCCGTCTTATGATGGGCTAATTGGCTATTATAATATAATTTCCATAGAAAAGGACTTGTTTTACTAACACTATTTAGGCATTGCATTTAGATGCTCATTGCTGCAATATCTGAAAATCTTGATTATACCCTCCAAATCAGGGAATGTACAGTTTTAGCTCAGTTACCTTGTGTATTTATTACAAAAGAGAAAGTAACACTTTTGCTGAACTGGAAAAGATAAATTGCCAGTAAGCATATAAACAGGGTACATAGTGCTGAAAGGGTTAAAGAGTTCATAATGTTAAATATTCACAACAGCTCATGCACATCAGATGTGACAAAGCAGGAAGAGCTAGGTTCCTGAATGCCGTCAAACAGCTGATTACTACAGGTGGGAGATGCGGGGGTAGGAAGTTGCTGATCCCCAGGACTGGGGGCGGGGGTGGGGGAGGAGAGAGGCTGCTGTTCTACCCTGATCCCAAGCCTCCACTTGCTATCAGGTAGCCAAAGAACATTATAAGCAAACATTGCATAACTTTAAATGGGTAAGTTCTCAAAAAGATCTGAGATATAACAACAAAACAACTTTAATGCAGACAATGCCGTTGAGAAGTTACTGTTTGTGCTACATAAGAGCACCTTCAGATAGTGAAAGACATGGTAAATTTAATTTTTACTTCATTTCTGTTAAAGGACATTATTTTGTGTAGCAATTTAAAGTGCGCAGACTATGGATGGATATTTGCTTAATCTCAATCATACTAGACTAATGTAGTTTTTGTCGACAAAGATTTCATGTGAAAGAGGAATTGTTCATTATACATCTTAATACCAACAGTGTTTCTGTGGCTTAGATCTGCCCCTCCCATTCATCATTGCATGGACCATCTTCCTTCCTATTGACAATGGAAAAATATCCTTGTTAAAAACTGCAATAATTGCTTATCCAGAAAAATGTTGGGAAAGCATTTGGTGTTTTTCTTAGCTTCTGATGGGATGCTAGCATAGGGCTGGGCAAGATACTTCACTGAGGCTGGATTCAGCCCACCTAACACTTTGGTCTGGCCCACAGACTGTGTATAGCCACTTTCTATTTATATCCTGCTTCCTGTGTCACTGAAGGCACTGGCTCAGGCAGCAGGATCCTATTCAAATTCCTAAAGGCTCCTGTTTGCAGTACTATCCCAGCAGGCACCAGAGCTGCGAGCCCTTTAAATAGCCATGTCAACCTCAGGCGGCTCCCAGGCAATGTGGAAGTGGTGGGTCATGAGCCCTTTTCTAAGTTTTTACTTCGAAGCCTCTGAACAACTCTGTGGGGAGGCTAGTCCTCAGCCCTGCCCCGGCTCCACCCCTGGAAGGGGTGGAACCGGTCTGTGTCCATGTACCAAAATTAAGTGGCCGCCACTGCAAAAATTATTGCCTACCCCCACTCTAGCAGGTTGAAACAAGCATTATGTTGGAGTAGAGAGATGTGGTTTTTTTGTTGTTGCTGCTGCTTTGGTGATGTGTTTTATATGAACCTAAAATCCCATTTTTAAATTTTGGGGATTTTTTTTGTAATACTTATTAATTCACTTGGCTAAAGTTTTTTAGGGAGTACCTGCTTCACAATTGCAACTTTATTTCACTAGTGCTAAGAGAGAGTTAAATATGAAAATCAGTTGATTTTTTGGTGGACCAAGTGGAGAATGAAATTAAAAATATAAAATTTTAGATTTTCTTCGACCTTTACACTTGCTTGCAGTGTTCTTTATAATTTTCCTAAAAGACAGGAAGATCATAGTTTGTAAACAAGAGTGCTAAGAATCGGAAATGCACTTGTCTCTTTTTTCCCTACCACTGCCTCTATATTCACCTGAAAGTAACACTTGATCAACATTTAAGGGACTTTTTTCTTTCTCCACACTCTTT